TAAAATGGACTAGCCTCTCATGTTGACATTCAGACTAAAATCACGTGACAGGCTGTTAAAATTGGCTGTTGCATACTCTTTCGCCGGTCTGGAAAATGTGTTTAATTAACTCACATTCAAGCAACAATGCAGATTTCCCAGTGGGAGTGAGACTATTCAAACTCTGCCACTAAAAAATAGGGGTGTTTTCAGCAAAAAACGAATAACCCTGGAATACATACAATATACTGAATTTCGGAACAAATCGTGCATTACTTACAGCAGCAGAATACCACAGAAATATCAGACGAAACATGAAAACACTATATATTGTATTTCAGCCTGAACCCTCTATATTGCAATTCAAGGAATTAACCCCATATGTGCATCCATTTCCCACCTTGGTATCACCCACCCCTGAAAACAAACTCTTAATACCACGCTGAAGCGTTTGGTAATAAAATCGCAAAGGCTCATGGGTAGACATGTTTGTAAACAATGACATGCTATGGCCATCTGACACATGAGACGACTTCCTGCTTTAAAATTTTCTCAGTCTACATACGTGACTGTCAAGACTGGGTTTGCATGATCAGGTGACATCTTAGAAAGGAAAATTTGAACTGTTTCATTAGCTATGCCTTGTTGCAGCCATGTTAAGCCATTTTGGGATCGAGTCTTCACCATTGAAAAACAAAGACTGCAATGGAAGGAAGGTAGCTAATAATGTATATGATAAGACCAAGAGAACATGAACAATTTTAGAACCATTGAAATCAGAATTTGCATGACAAAATATGAATGACTGCGTGGGTAAGCAAGAGGTTTACTGTAAAATATTCCATGCTGCCTAAGGTTCTTCTAGCAGCGAAAATTATCAATAAAATGATGAGTGTGAAGACAGTGCATGGTTTGATTCATGTATGATTCACGTACGATTAAAAACCTTTATTTCATGCAAATGTTTAGATTTAGCAATTTTAGCCAATGTAACAATATCTTTGTGTGTGAAAAATAGTGATCAGTTTAGCATTTTCTGTGACAATTTTTTATCTGATCATCTTCACATCTTGAGAATCTTATCAATTGCTATGAAATGTCAATCAAGTTCAATTTTGGTGTAACTAGCAATGTGAAATTTCTGAGATAAAGGGTAAAATACTCACTCTTTTCATGCCAAAAAAGATATTGTTTCGTTAGTTAAAAAAATCACTGAGATTTAAAAAAAATTCAAAGTTTCCGACCGGTGGCCATTTTGTTTGAATTAATGCTGTTCCAGAGCAATAACTCTCAATATGTACTCATTTGACGATCAGATACTGAATATAACTGAATGTTGATTATTTTATTGTTAAAAAATCATTATAATCAAGCATCAGCTTCTGGATATATATCTGTGACATGTTTATTTTCAAACTATATTACTATAAACAAAACTACTGTATCTATTTGATAACTATTAAATTTGATGACTAACATGGATTGTGCCATGCATGACTTGTTTCAGAGTGATTTGTAGCGTCATTTCATTTTGACTTCTGTAATTTGGTAACACTGTCAATACATATTGAGATTCAATGCACAGTATTTTTTGGCGACCCAACTCAACTTACAAGATAGATGGCTTAAGCTTATTCTCTGTGATTTATTTAATTTTCAAAGATTGTATCTTTTTATTATGTAGGCATCAATGTGATACAGTTATTGCTAGTCGTAAAATTGACAAGTTAAAAAAGGTAGGAAATTATATTACTGCATCTATGTTTTATGGAGATTATATATGCTGCTCCTTTCCCAGTTCCAACCAATTCATTATCTATTTTATTCATTTATTTTAGACCACACCCATATCATTGTTTTTTTCTTTTTTGACCACACTCATTGTTATAATTTGTCTGAGACTACATACATTTCATTGTTCCCATTCCTAATAGACCACTCTTATTCCATTGTGTCCATTCCTAATAGACCACTTATATTCCATTGTGTCCATTCCTAATAGACCACTCTTATTTCATTGTTTCCATTCCTAATAGACCACTCTTATTCCATTTTCCCCATTCCTAATGGACCACCCAAATTCCATTGTTTCCATTCCTAATAGACAATTTTTATTTCATTGGTACCATTCCTAATAGACCACTCTTATTCCATTTTTCCCATTCCTAACAGACCACCCGTATTTCATTGTTCCCATTCCTAATAGACCACTCTTATTCCATTGTGTCCATTCCTAATAGACCACTCTTATTCCATTGTTCCCATTCCTAATAGACCACTCTTATTCCATTGTTCCCATTCCTAATAGACCACTCTTATTCCATTGTTCCCATTCCTAATAGACCACTCTTATTCCATTGTGTCCATTCCTAATAGACCACTCTTATTCCATTGTGTCCATTCCTAATAGACAACTTTTATTCCATTGGTACCATTCCTAATAGACCACTCTTATTCCATTGTTCCCATTCCTAATAGACCACTCTTATTCCATTGTTCCCATTCCTAATAGACCACTCTTATTCCATTGTGTCCATTCCTAATAGACCACTCTTATTCCATTGTTCCCATTCCTAATAGACCACTCTCATTCCATTGTTCCCATTCCTAATAGACCACTCTTATTCCATTGTGTCCAT